TAGTCATGCTGCAGTCAACCTACTAAGCCGTCACAACAACAGTAATAATGAATCTGCTTTTATTTCCAATTAAAAATGTTCCAAATAGCATTGTGGTCTCATTGATTTCTCTGCAAATGGTTGTTCGGGCTTCTAGAGGGATTTGGATTGGGCTCATCGCACACAGGCTCTGAGTACAAACAAAGAGCGGCTGATAAGTAAATAGCCCGTAAGAGATTTATGCTTATGCACGTGTATATGAGCATGTCACAGCACAAGTGTCTGCCGCTGTTTCTATAGCTGCTGCTCAGTGGACTTTGGAGACACTGATAATGATGTCAATCCCCAGCCCAGCATGTTCTCCATCCTTCTCTCCCCGACTCGTGTTTTCCTGAGGTACAGAGATGGAGACGGGCGAAGGGAGAGAGGCTCATATCATTTCTTTTACTTGACAGCTGCTGGAGCTGGCAGTGAAAATTTAAAATGCGAGAGCTATTCTTGATATGTGGACCTCCTCTATCCCATCTGCTCCTATCACCAACCAATCTTATGTTTCTAAATAGTTTAGTAATACAGAGAAAAGGCGTTTATCTAGAAATGTCATAGACACGTCCACCGACTTTGACATTTTTACGAGGTTTTAACTGTGGAGCTGGAAGGAACACCTCCGGAAAAATGGCCATAGCAAGTGACATGAAGATTTTGCATTCTCACATTCAGCCTCTCCGGATAATTTCAGGAGCATATCCAGAGTGAATCATATATCTGAAAGCAGCTTGTGTGAGAAGTCTGTTTGGGATTTCTTTTCTTTTTCCCATGTAATACCTGAAGATTATGTACTTTTGTAAATGTAGTCATGTATCATGTATCCCACAAAAGGGACGAGCCAGTTGGATTGACAGAAATGAAATATATAAATACATGTAATACATATAGTACGCCTTCATGCCCTTGTATAGACAGAAGCAAGGACACAGTGTATACAACAGCTTGACACGATCACAACTGAACTTAATTATTTTGACGTTGGTGGTTGATAAAAAGCTAAACTTGAAGTGAACAGGATGTTTTAGCTGTTGTTGCTACAGAATGTGATCATCTTACAAACAACCACAGGCTAAACTTCACTTAGTTTATACTCAGCCTGTCTTCCAACCGTGACAGGTGTTGTATTCATAACACAGTGAAAATCCTGCCATAAAATACCCACTACGACACTCTGCATCCAGGAAAAGAACTGCTTGGCACCCCCTCTGTTAATCTATCATTTACGCACCCCTCACCATTTCCCTGCATACTTAAACTACACTGTTAAATACACACATACACACTTGGCTCCTGCGGTCGTGCAGGTTTACAGCCAGTTTGTGTCCACTTAGAATGAGTCCCATGCAGAGAATAGATGCTGTGGCAATTCTGGAGCCTGTTTGCATGTAGAGGCTCCGTACAGAGCTGATGCAGGGGTTCAGAGTATCTACGATAAAATCTGTGCTCATGTTGATGGGAGTCATAAAAAAACATCTGATATCTTGGTTGCAGAATTAATAACTTTCAGTGTATAGACGACTTTACATTTCTTCACCGTATCGAAGGTTGTGCGTTGGGTTTCTTGGCATCTATAGTGGGGAGGTTACGTGTTCTGCAGCGACCTTCAGCTAATGCAAAAAATATGTTGTGTTGGATTTGTCCATTGGGGGCTTCTGTAGAAATATCACAGTGCAAAATAGTGGACTCCAAAAAAGGAGACCCACTCCTGATACAGATATGAAGGTCAAATATCCCACATATGCGAATGGTGCCATTTTGCTCTAGTCATATCCCACCTGCTAACATGGAGGAGGTAGGGTTTAGGACCTTTAGTGCAGCCAGGGGGTGATTTTGGCATCACTATGGTTCTGGATGGGCTACTTGGAGATATATGGAAGTGCAACACGGCAGATTCCATGAAAAAGGATGTAGATATATTCCAATATACATTCCAACCTTTATTTGTTGAAATATTATGAAAACTAAATATTGACGACACTATGAACCCAACACGTCCACACCCCCCCCCCCCCCCCCCCCCATTACACTTATCTGTCCAAAACAACACACACCCACAATATGACCTTCATAACAAACAGTACTTTTCTATTTGTCTGGCTCCTTTTGATTTAATGGTTGATTTCATGGTCGGCTTACCCCCGGGTCACGTGACCGCTGAACCACAACTAAGGAAATAAGTTATAGATTTGTCGAAAATTCAGTCATAAGCTCAACTAATGCACGAGACGGGGAGTCAATAATAGATTAGAGAAAGAGAGAGAGAGAGAGAGGTACCCATAAGGCAATCAGTAGTCCATATTAATTATGCTAATGATTTGGATTTGCTACTTCATTAACCACCATTTTGAGCTGGTTGATCACAAGGGTAGTTCTGCATAAAGTCTCCGTAGCAACCGTGTACTGTGTGTGTGTGTGGGCACATGTGCCAATTATCTGCATGTGATTATTACTGTTGTGACAGTCAGCAATCAATTAGTTTCTAATCCCAGATAGACGTAAGGGGAGAGTTCTCTATGTGTTTCAATTGGCTGATAATTCATCATTTAGCCAGTAGATTATTTTTTACTGTAAGAGTTGTTTTGTAAATATCAACAGTTGCATTGATTATTTGTGGGAGAGACTCCCCTCGGATCCAGGAGATAATTTCCCCCGCAGTTTTCTTGGGAGAACAGCAGGTGGGAGCAGAGTTCAACTGAAGTGTGAATGACTTCTCATCACTCTCTTCTTCTCTGAAAACTCTGCTGGAACCAAAGATAAGTTGCATTCTGGGATGTCATCCGTGCATTTTTATGGATTAAATACACACTACGGGTTCTGGGAACGCCTGATCCGCACAGAACGTAAACATGATTCTAAAGTAACGATCTAAGCAGGAATTACCCAGGGACGAGTGGACAGCCTGTGGAAAAGCAATTCACTGACTTAATGAAAATGCATGGCACAGAATCATTTCACATTTATCATCAGCCTGAATCGCAGGCTTTCCTCTGCAGACATCAAGATTATTTGCTGGCTCAACAAAGACAAAAAGGGGGAAAATGATTTTCTTTTTCATATTAGAAGAATGTCACTGTCAACCTATAGCAGACCTCAGCCGGTCCCTTTAAAAGCAATTTAAATGAGCAGAAGTCAGGAGGTACGGCCGATAGGAAGCAGGGAGACGAGGCTGTCAAAACGTGGCCAAGTCATTTTATCTTGATGGTTGCCCACGCTGCAATAATTGATTTGTCTTTGTACTCGGGCGTTGAGTATACAAACATGGCGAGTGGCCTGGAGAAGCATGTGTCTGTCTGATTAGCAAAGCTCTGCAGCATTCACCGAGACGTGCACGGACCTTTTTCCTCGTTGTGCCTCCGTCTGCAGCTTCCCTCTGGATGTGCTCATTTGACAGGGCCTGATGCAACTCTTCACCACAGACTACAGCTCAGTTGCAAGCCTCCATTGATTTCTCCCACTCGTTTCTACCCCCATAGACTTTTGGCAGGTCCATCATTACCAGCGCGAGTCATGTGGACAAGCCAGCGTGTGTGTTTGTGAGCACCCACAGTGTTCGAACCTCACGAAAGCTTATTTTGAATTCTGGTGAAGATCCCGAAGGTTTTTCCAAACACCCCAAGAATGTGTTGGACTGAATTACAAGGAAATTTGTGATGTGACGTACAAGAAATTTCCATTTTGATCCACAGAGGCAGTATTTTTTGGTTTGGAATTTAGATTCTGACTCAGTGCTTGAAAGAGTAGATACTATTAAAATATATATGTGAAAATATCCAACAGGAGAGGTTTTAATTAGAGCCACAGACTGCATATAAAGAGGGACGACATGACCGCTCCCCAAAACTGAAGCCAAATCTTTTTTAATCTCCATGTAAGATGATAGTACACGTTCATTATTTTTCCCCAAGATGGTTTCTGGAATGTATGTCGTCCTGATGCATCGTCAAATCTTTATTTACAGTCTATGGCTAGAACTGAATGACGACAACATTTTCCTCAGTCTCCTCGTCCATGTAGGGCAGAAAAATACAGCGTCTAATACAAATGTTTGCAAGTAGCTACTTAAAGTGTGATTTGATTGAGTTTTTGATGTTCGACCTCACGAGGAGATAAATTTGTGACGTGGTGAACGCGCAAAACCAACTGATATAACTGACTGTGACAATTCTTGGAATGATTTCTGTAATTTCCTGTGGATAATGTCGCGTTTCCTGTATTAGAACTGACTGCTCTATTAGAAAATGGAGCTCATTTGACTGCAGACAAATCTAGTGGAAGTCAAAGTCAGTCTGTGATTCATAATAAAGCCGCTCGAGGCAGAGGAGACGTACGACAACAAAGATTAGTGCTGTTTTTGTTTGTTTGGGATGAAGTTGCTTAAGTTCACAAATACTGATTAGATGGCCCGAGGCTACGAGTGCAACAGAAGTGAAACTTGTCAAACAGCATGACGTCAGTTATTTATCTGGTACGATGGTACAGGGTGTGTGGAAGCACAATTCCACCACTTTGATAAGAAAAGAAATCCACTGAAGTCATTACAAGAAACAAATAAATGACCTGTTAACACAAAAATAACTTCTTAGTAATTCAAACAATTTGCTATCTCAAAATGATGACTAGCTATCTGAAGTATAACGACAACATAACGACTTACTATCTCAAAATAATGACTTAGCAACACAACATAGCAACTAACTAGTATATGGACGTACCAGTCAGCAAGTTAAAACCATGAATTACTATCTAAAAATAATGACTTGCTACCACATAATGAAAAAACAAGTTAGTATCTCAAAATACTGACTTAGTGCCTAGTGATTACAATTTAAACCATAAGTTTGATTTATTGACATCATCATTTTGATTTAGCATTAATCACTTTTCTTTCACTTGATGTTATTCACTCCTCAGATCACAAACATCTAGCTACATGAGTTCTGATTGGTTTTCAAAGAGAACTGTTCAAAACAACAACAGTTTTAGAGATATTTTTATTTCTATTTTTACAGACTTTTTGTCACAACAAAGTCAGCAAGAGCATCTTTTTTTTTTCTTTTTCTTCCCCAATTACATTGTAGTAATTCATTTGAAAGCAAACGAGAAGGGACAGCGAGCGTTTCATAGCGTAAAAGCAAGAGGCAGTTTTGACATGCAGCGATACAGGCGGCGGGGGGGGGGGGTTTAACCAAATCCAAGGCGAGGGGAATACTAACACCCCCCGCCATCCAGTTTCAACACAAACCCCCCCGTTTATCCCTCAGATGATCACAGCCCCTTGGAGCCCGTCAATTACAAAACACACAGAGAAGCAGTAATGAAAAAGAATCTGAAATCTCACTCCAAGGGGCGACAAAATAAACCCAATTCTTAAAATTGCCCATCCTATTAAGTGACGTTAAGATTGCTTCGAAAAGGGATTCAGTAACAGAACTGCAACATTCAAGTCTTTCTAGTTAGCCAGCATGGTGATTGGTCAAATAATACAGAATATCTTTTATGCACTACCAACATAAAATTTGTCAAAAAAACCCCCCCACCATTTGATATGTAAGTGATATTGGGCCAAGTAGAAAAGAAGAGTCGAACCTCTGGACCTCTCTTACCCAAACTTCCCACAGTTTGTTCTAATTAAATGAAATGAACGTTGAGGAAGAGGCCACACAATGAAAGGTTAATGTAATTTAACTTTTAAACCTTTCTTTTCAATATATCTAGTAGAGCACAGTGCAAGTTACTGTTCATGAGATTAGGTCCTGGCCCGAAAATACTTAAGAGTGAAGTTGTCATAATATAAACACACGATTGATCTTTGTTTCCATTTGATTACTGCAAAAAAGTGAAGTGGATTTAAGTGCTAAGCTTTGCGTTGACATTTTATTCATATCTATTCAGCAGTGTTTTAGGAAGTGGGTGTAAGAGTGCTCCCCCAGTGATTGGTCCCCAAGGGAGACATTACTGTCTTTGTGTTAAATGACTACAAACAAGAGGCCAAAGAAAGAGAAAGTCCTATCCCAGGGAAAAGAAAATTTAAAAAAAAGGAAAGGAAAGTCACCAGACAGAGAAAATGACCCTCCAACAAACAGACAAAAGCAGTGTGGAGACAGAGGTTGATGAGGGTAAAAGTGATGCGTCCGTCTTCTATCAGGGGACCACTGCGTCCATCTGTCTGTCCGTCCACCCACCTGTCCAGCCACCTCCCGCACTATGGGGTCTCACTTGAGCAGGGCCTTGATATCTTCGCACTCGGCAGCTTCAAAGGCACTTATGCCGTTGGGTCCTGTACGGTCTTTGTCAGCTCCCTGTGGTGGAGAGAGGACATGAATATTAAATATGCTGAGCAGGTGCGTCAGAGACGTATCTCACATCTGGTCAGGGGTTAAAGTGAGAGGAAGAACTCTTTGTGAACCGGGTACGTTAGCAGATATTCAGGGGCAACATCACAATCGAGACCTAAAACATCTTTTATAAAATTCCAGTTCGTGAACATTCCCATGAGGATTAGGCAAATTAATACTTTTGAATTTGCAAAGTAGTGTTATCTGTCATGTCAAACTTTTCATACCGATATCAGCTCCTTCTCCTTTTCTATCACATTCACTCTGCTTTTATCTTCTTTCAGTTGCCCTCACGTAAAGTCCCTGCCTGTATCTGTGTCGTGTGGAAGGACGTAAGGTGCCGTTCCGAGGATAAAAAGTGTTGCCATAAAGCACAATGAAAGATCAGATGAAACCACAGACATCTTTCTATTGTTACATAACCTCTGTTTTTGCAACGGCCTTAAATTAACACCATTTCCCATAAGCCCTTGACAATCATGTCACCAACTCTTTAAAAGAGGCGAGTCCAGATACCATAGTCATTACAGCAGCTGACTAGTACAGACAATGTAGATGGAAGTGATTAAAGGGAAGAAGAGGAATGGAATGAGAACATGTGGTAAACTAATAAATCCTTATTTCAGAAATACTAATAAAAGAAACTAAGTTGGGTTAAACACGTCATGGCTTGAAGTTCTGGTTCCTCTGGTTAAAACACAGGTTCCTGAAATGGTTCTTGGGTGACACTGTGTTGGACAAACTCAGGGGTGCATGGTTACCCCTCGATCAATTAAAGTGAAGATCCTGTCACCTTTATTTTTCCTACAGTTAAGTCACTAAGCACTTGCCTGTCAGCTTCTCTTTATCTGGAGAACACGTGCAAAAAAAAGAAAAAGTAACAGAAGCAGAGACACAAATCCATTGGAGCTGTGAGGGATAACAGAGTGAACGTGAAAGAGAAGGGAGTGGGCGCAATCATTCGGATTAAACAGGACAAAAGCAACTGTAAAAAAAGAGAGAGGGATGAGACGGGCAACGTGTTGAATGTAGTGACAACAGATTTAATGGGCAGCAGAGGAGTGGAGGGGCATGTTGTGGAGAAACGTCTCTTTGTGTGGCCTGCCAACTTTAGCCTCTTAGCAGAGGGCTTACACAGTCAAGACAGAGAGAGTGTATTGTTGCGTGGAGAAACCGGGCTTCAAAAACAATGTGACCCAGTTCGAGCGCCTCAACGTGTGAAGATGGTCTCTTACGTGCAAATTTCATGGCACAGGGGCAACAGAGCACATCCCGAGCAAGAGATTTACCAGGGCTGAGCGGGTAACCTGACAGATCGAACATCTCTAATGGCAGAGAAGGCGGAAGGCAAAGTAAAATATGTTTTTTTGACAATTTACAAGTTGCCTCACATGTCGAATGAAGCCTGCACCAGTCAACACTCCAGTCATATTAGAGCCCTGCTGTGCAGCATTATGAACTTTGAAGTTGTTGGTGACCTCAAGTCCCTTTGTCATCATAGTTTCTTTCATATGACAATTGAAAGGTTTATTGTTCATTTCAAAAGAACAAAAATCAACAACATCGGAAATACACTTGGGCTCAGAGTTAGATGAGAAGATTAACGTCACGCTGAATATCCCCTTTCATCGACTAACTCACTATCCTCTTTAATTAGTTTGTGGGGGAAAAAGCTAAGCAGAAAGAAGTTTGAGTTTCATCTCCAAGATCTGTTAATCTTCTTGCCTATAATAAAAATGTCAAGTATTCAATGGAGTTGTAAGTAGTCTTAAAGCTAAGAGATTTCAGAAATCTCATAGCATAGATTCAAATCCACTAAACATGAGTAATTTGTGAAGGGTTACTAATGAAGTTTTTGGTTTCAAAAAATAAGCTATCATCCATCCATCATCTGCACCGCTTATCTTTCAAGGGGTGTGGGGGGCTGGAGCCAGATCATCCTCCCTTTAACGTGTCTATAAATACTCAGAGGGTTCCTTCAGGGTAATTTGTCTTGTCAGATACAGGACGAGTTCCTCTAGGAAAAACCTCAACACTTCTATAACCTGATATTGTTTCTCTGATACGAGCTGTCTCTAAAACAATGCTGAACAAAAGTATAAACCATGAATAAGTATTTACAGCTGGCTCATTCATATCAGGCACCTGGTAAGTAATCATTGTGTGTGTCTCTGTACTGGGGGAGGGAGGTAGTAGGAAGCACCCCTTCTCTCCTTCCAGCTCTGGGGGAGTCATTAGGAGCTGGTTCAAGACTATACCTGGTATCCCAGGCCTCAGTTAGATGGCAGAAAACAGCATTACACATTGACCCTCGGCCATTTTCACCATCACTATACTCAATCATATACCCACGGTATACGGCTGTTTCTGAGGTAAAACAGAATGATAATGATCAATGTCTTTTGGTTGCCACACACTAATGTTGACCTGAAAAGTATTGCAGGGTGTCTGCAACAGATTGATTCTCCCTGTGGGAATTTATGGTGGCGTTACAATAATAGCTCTAAATCTTCCTCCTCCCTGTTACTGCCTCTCAGAATTCACCATGATATCCCCAATGGCCATGCAGCTCAGTGGCATCCTCCTGACACCACTTACAGTAATGAGCTTTCCCCCCAACTTGAATAATGACCTCTTATGAACACCTCACTGTCCAAACATTACACAGTCAGAGAGAAGCTACTTGCCAAGTAAGAGGCAGCCTAATGAGTAAGAATAGACTCCCATGGTGTCTGCAGCCAAACTAAGATGCATCATCATCTTGGATTTGGATGATGGAGTCACACAAAGAAGCACTGGGTCAGTAATGTAATGCCACTGACCTGCCAAGTGTCCATTAAGTTTTCATTAAGCCACCGGTGAATGGAACTGAAAGGTCTCCCACACACAAGTCTTAAAATATTGGGCCAAACATTGCTTGAAGCCTTTTTGAATTGCAATGCATCAGACTATTGACCTGCTTGCAGAAATCAAACTACTGACCCGCAAAAGGGCAGATATTGTAACACCGTGCAGTAATGGAGCATCAGCTCTGGTTGTGGTTGAAATGATAATGAGTTCACCAGTTGAACATAACAATGCTGAGTAGAATAACTGATTAAATTATGATTTTGAATGTGGTTTATTTGAACGATCCTTACAAAACAAATAAGGTTTGTTTACCTGTTTGCAGGATTACCCCAAAACGACTGAACCCATCTCCATGAAATTTTGTGGAGGGATGGGACATGACTCACTAAAAACCCACTGGATAAATGAGCACATCCAAGATTTTAATTTTTAACTTTCATTCTTTCTTTCTAGCATGACAAGACAGGGTGTTAGCCTTTGTGAAGGGAATGTGGTCTACGAGTGCTCTTCTGGTTTATAGATTGACTTCCTGTAAAACACAAATTGGCTTCTATAGTGCAGACTATCGAGCATAACTATAGTGCAACATTTAACAGTATAACTTTATAGCTGAACTCTGTTTTTGTTTCAGAAATCTAAAGGTGTTCTACCTGAATCTTAATTATTTGGGTATCATTATCCAGCCAATAGAAATGTAAGATGGTACATTAGTAGCAAAAACGAAAAGGAACTTGGCAAAACGATGCTGCATTACTTCTTCGTAAACTGTGTGCACGGTTCCTCATAGAGTAGGTGTGTGTATTCATGAGTGAATGCATTTGTGCCCTTTCATTGTTGACTTTAAATGAACTGGCCGGCCTCCACAGGCTGTAGTCAGCACTCTTGGCCAGGATCTTGCGGTTAGGTCACCTATTGGGGTTAAGGGGCCTTTAATAATTTATTGACAAAAACAGCATAGCATGCAGTCGGGAGGCAGGGGGCAGCTCCCATGATGCAACAGGGTACTGAGCCATTTTTGCTGCCAACACAACAATGTCGGACAGTACAATAGCAACAAATCAGCGATCTCAGTGGGCTCCTCTTATCCACTGGGTGCTGCCAGACAGAGTGGGTATGCAGCGGCACAGTCGATGGTGTGGCTCTGGGACAATCTATTCATCTAATGTCATGAGCTGTCAGGGGTATATGTATTGAGGTATTGTTCTGTGGTGACTGATGACCTTTTGGCTGCATCTGGGTGTTAATCCTTGCTGGTACTTAGTGGAGATGAGTACAGAGTCATGAGAGGAGCAAACCTATGCCTTAGTTCACATGTTCTCATCCCACCATAATCCCTGTTCAGATGAGCTAGGGCTGCCTGTCTTGTGTTATATGATACCCCTGTTTTTTAAAGGCCATTTCATTTCCAGTGCAGGGACTGTTCTTGCATAGCTGCCTATTTCAGGTTTAGACAAGCCTCTGGCTTTCAAGAGAATGAACTGTGACTGTGCACGTGACTCGCAGCAGAATAAAATATAGAGGAAAATCAATGCAGGGTGCATTTTACAATCTACTGCAATTTGTGTTTTTCTTTTAACTCGAGAGGACAAAAAATGAAAAATATACTTTGCATATGATTAATCACAATTCCAAGACTGCATATCACAGTATAGACTGCAGGAGATTATAGAAGTTTTGTACCCTTTATATACAGTACAGTTTTAACTGAGTTAGATATAACACTGTACTATCACCAGACATTTGTTCTAAAGAACCTGACACATGTTGGACTTCCTGTTAACTGTTAAGACTTTCTGCTGACTGTCATCTGACAACTGTCAGCCACAACATGAGTATTTATTCACTGTGACAAACTGGTGACTTCCTGCTGCAATTTGAACAAACTAACAGCTCTCTGGTTTACTCACCTCTGCTAAAAGGCTAACCAGCTAGAGCCCATGTTAATACACTTAAATATTGATTAAGGATATATATATATAATAAACCGAACAGGGAACAAGAAAAAGTTTAGAATTTTTTCCCTTACTGAACCATTTTAAAACTTTTATCCTCTTTCTGTTGGCATTGGCTGCTTTCTTCAGTTTATCCCTGAGCCAAAAGCCCTGATGGCCAGCAGACTCAAGTAGCCAGCTGCAGTCCAGCTGCTGGCCAACTTCAAACTGCTGGTCAATCGATGCAGCGGCTGTGTTTATAAGTAAGTAAGCAGTTCGGTGTCTTTCCTGTGTTTCTTTCACACATCTCACTAATTCCTCTTTTTAAACATTTGCATTTAAGTGCATTTGAACTGATTGAAAAGGCTTCCTGAATAGACCATTGCAGTTTTATAGCGTGAACAAAAAAGTAAGGACTTCCCTTCTACTGTGTGACTGAGCTTCTCTAGCCCCCTCTTCACGTTACTTCTCTTAAGCAAAGATGATGCTACTACGAAACAACTCTACAGAGGACCATTCATTTACACTGCCTAGTTTAGCCTGGCTGGGAACAGGCAGCTGCTCGCAAGCCCCATATATATATATAAACTGAGTAGTGCATATGGGGAAGATATACATATATATATCTTCCCCATATGCACTACTCAGTTCGCAGCAGACTTTACTTTAAAGCACGCAGGCCAGCTACATGACATCATGCTGTGGTCTCCGTTGCAGACATAGTTCTCGGTGTAGTTGACCTTGTGCAACTATCAGGTTTCAAGCAAAAATTTTGACTGCTAAGGAAAACTAGCCTGCAATTCTAAATCTTTGCATGCTGGACATAATGCACATTAAAATATATGCATCTTCCCTTTTATTTAAATGAACATAAACATTGCTACGCTCCCAATATTTTTCACTGCAAACTATTCCACTGCAACAGTACAACCATGCAGACAAGCTGGAGATAGGCTACAGATCAGCTACCCAGTGCACTCCTGTGTTATTCTTTTGAAACTTCCTGACTGATGACAGTTGAGTGTCAAACACAAATACACCAACAAAGGTGCTGAAAGACAAGAAGCTATTCTGGCCCTCTTGTGTGACATTGATCATCCATGGGGCCATGAATTCCACTGACTCATCTGGGCTACAACTCCACCGGCATAGATGAATAGATCTATCATTTGTGTGCTTGTGAATGGTGTGCTTGTGCTTCACAGTCAAACATTCAGGGTAAACACACAGAAAGAGGCACAGACTTTCCTACAGAAACTCCTTGGAACTGCAGTATGAGCTTGGTTGGATTGGACATTTATTATGGTATGCTTGTATTCCAGCTGCAAAACAACAACCAATGCCAGCTGTGCCTGACACAGTGTTGTATCTCAGCTCACAGCAGCTACTGTGAGTGCACATGCTCTTGTGCATCTCTCTGACAGATGCCGCATTTAAGATCGCTCCATAGCTAAACAACGAGGGGAGGCTGAGATGAAGGATGGAGTGAACATTTACATGGAGACCCATGAATGGAACTGCTTAAAAACACAGCACAAAACAAGTGAACTGCAGCAAAACTGTTTGCCACTCAATGAAAATTCCAGCAAAGCCTCCACGGGACTGTGTTGAAGGGCCTTTTGTCCACCGAGTTACCTCATCAGCACTCATGGAGCCTCTGACACTTCACCATGCACTGTCAGGTGCAGATGCACGTATACATATGCAAAAATGCATTCTCAAATCAGAATACCAACCTTTTCTAGCAGGACCTTGACACAGGAGATGTGACCCTCTAAACAGGCAGAGATCAGTGGAGTTAACCCGTGTTTGTCAGGAGCCTGTGAAGGGAGGGGGAGGACAACAGAGGGACAAATTTAATACAGCTATTTGTTATCAAAATAAATATGAAAAATTAACTCCTGTGAGAAAAGTTTCTCTTACTCTCTTATCATGTCCAGACATTGTAAAAGAGGTGCTCTGCACTTCAACTCTATATCTTCCATGTTTCAGTTACTGAGTTAGTGGTTAGCAAGAGTAATATACAAACACTTTTGGGGACAAATTTTACTCCTTGAGTTTGTGAAGACCAGACCAGTGGTGATCTTATGATGATGAGTTTTTGTGCTTAGCCAATGTAAAACCAGGAGTTAGATGCACCTCGGTTATTTGGGTGTCCTGAGTTAGGAAGCACACTGGAAACGTTTCAGAACAAAAGAACTCTCTCCAAATTACAGATGCTACATCAGTCTACCAGCACAACACTAGAGCAGACTACTGAAGCTCAGGGAGCCAATCAGGCTAAACGTGAGCTCTGGTAAGCCTAGACAACTGTTGAATGAGAGGACGGACAATGACTGAAATAGCATATGACAACTGGTTTTAGCAGCCAGCCTGCAATTTGCTTAATTAAACTGATAAGGCTCACATGACATCAAGCAGTTTGACTGTGGGCACTGCAGGCCTGGACAGCAGGCAAATTAATGCAAAAAAGGTTGTGATATGTTGTTGTGCTTACATTGATATCTGCTCCCTTAGAAATGAGGAACTCCACAACATCTGTCTGACCAAAGTCAGCAGCATAGTGCAGAGGCTTCCTCCCACCATCCAGGGTCCGGTTGGCATCTTCAGCCTGGGAAGAGAGATAAACAACACATTGACAGGGCTGGAAAAAAGCTCAGTGCTGTAGCAAACCAACACTGTGCATAACAATATGCACTGAAGGGGGATGGGAGGGCTCTCTTTCACCTAGAACAGGAACAATCACTGTTGATACATGCTCCCACTGAAATTTAGTGTCAAACAATTACATGCACACCATCCTCTCCCCTTCGCTGTTGTGGCGTTGTTAGATGTCAGACTGTCAGCCTCGCAGCCAGGAGAAAACACAGACACACTCAACGCCACCCCTTTTTTAATTCCCTTACCACACTAACCACACATAGGGCAGAGTGTGTACTCGGCGGCACTCCACTGACAATACCTAATGGAAGACACATCAATCACAGAGGTGGCTGTGAGCTCCAACTTTTCTCAAGACTGTGCACAATTAAATAACTGTCTGCATAAAGATGGAGAAAAGTGAGGGGGAAATATCTGGTCTTATTGGCTGAGGTAAGAGAATATTGGAGTGGAATTTGCTGGAAGTCCCAGCGAGGTACAGATATATCTTGTTACACAAGACCCTCGTTATACAACAAGTCAGCTCGGGAACTACCTGAGATATCTGGTTCCCCAGGGACAACTGAGAGATAATCAAATAAAGCTGAGATGCCAATGAAAGGAAGGAAGAGGCGATGGCAGATTTGATAGTGTATATTGTTAATATAATAGAAGAGGGGAACTTAATCATTTTTTCACTTCATTGTTGCATAAGAATTTGTAATAACAGTAACAGTGTAAAATACTTTTTAAAGCACTTCTTTGATGCATCGATCTTCGTTTTATAATCAAATCAGAAGGTGTCTAGAGAGTCCCACCCCTCTCATATACTATTGATATGCTGTCGCACGTGATCTGGATTTCTAGTTATAATAAAATAATGTTCCTGTTTCTTTCCTGGTCTGAATTCAAACATTACAGTCAGGTGATACAAATTCAAAGTCTCAACTTATTATGCTTGACGGTTTAATAACACTGAATTCCTCAGACTTTTCGACATGTGGTGGCAGGAAAAGCATTTGTGACTTGGTTGTAAGCCATCCCAGCTGACACTGAAGCTATGTTGTATTGCATGTCTTTACACTGCAGGAGCATGTAAGTGTACCCAGAGAAAACCTGATTGGGATTCAACAGTGAGGACAATCACTGCAGCAGAGTGCCACCCAAAAATTAACATCCTTTGACCTAAAATGACCAAGCGTGTGTGGAACCTCTTTAATTAGAGTCCAGCTTTACGTCCAGATATATTGAATCAGGATTTCGGGGACTTTTCATGTAACAAGAAAGACAAATGCTTTGAAATAAAGTGTTAAGTTGACAAAAATATAAACTTCACTTCTAACTTATCCTTTAAGTATTTTTAAGGTTGTTGAATCAATTTGTTTTTACACCTTCGGACAGTATACCCATCTTAATCAGTATTCCATTTTGTGTGCAGATGAATTATTGTATATATTCAATGAGAAATATTTTATATTACATCTTTTTTTGTCCCCTGTGTCTTATTTCTCTTTCCCCCCTTTACCAATGGTCAAATGGATGTGATGACCACGCGCACACAGACTCTGCTCATGTCTGTAACTGCTCCACCGCCTGACTCTGATTGCCACTCACTCACCTTCATCACTAAATCCACTGAAGGTCAAGTACAACACACTGAAGACAATTCATTATACACTCATTTCCACTGAATCCATTAGCAATGATGGATATTGAACCTCAGCCCCCTTCTAATAGGGTTGAAATATTACCTGCAATGACTCCAATTCCGATGGCTGATAAAATCGAAATAGTTTCATTTCCACAATAGAACAGGGATAAAAAGCTGAAGTTGTTTATAACCAGACCTTTTTTCTAGATAATGAACTGGATATGAGATATAATAAAACTGTCAGAAATAAGAAAACCCTCCTTGTGATTGGGAAATTTCTCCATGATGATGGTAGAATATCAAATGCAACAATTCAGCCACTGTAATCACGATTTGATTACTTGTTTGTCATGGTGGTTTATAATTTAAATGAGCCTTTTCGGGGTCTATGCACCCATCTCTTACGTGCAGGTGTATCTTGTAATTGGACATCCTGTAGTGTAGCTTATGAACAACAACCACGGCTATCAAGAATATTTCATTTTCAACAAAATATGTATGTTTTATAATGTGGGAACAAGGAAAACTACACTAGGAAACTGTAAAAACACGACTTTTGAACCACCCAAAAAAATCTTTGATTGTTTTATGGCAAAAATATGAGCTTTTGTGTGACACTGAAAATGTGGGTTAAGACAGTAAAAAGTTATAACACAGCTAAAATTCTGGAAACCACAGCACAGTCTAATACAGACATGAACTCTGGAAAATGTACAGAAAATTGGATGTGAACATTTCCAGTTTGCCTGACACGTGAAAGCAGCAGCAGATTTTCTAGGTCAGAGGCGTTCACAACAGGAAAACATTAGGCACATTCAGGAGAGGGATGTCTCCTGGGTAGAGTAGCAGGAGGCATAACATGATGTATAGATTGTGCTATGGAAAGCATATTTAATTGTTTACAGCACATGGACACAGAGCGTTATCATCAACACCTCTTGTGTTCTCACATCTTCTCTCTCTGACATTATGCAGGCATTTAACAAGGGAGCTGGTGGGACATTTGCATTCACACATACAATTTTCTCTGGAAAATTACTGAACATTTGCATAAATTCAGGAACTCCCATGTGCAAATACACGTATCGAGTATAATCCAATGTCCAGCGTGTGTTGACAATAATTTAATGAAGGACTTTGGCCTCGTCATTGTAGCAGCAGGGAAACAAGCTTTAATGTTTTAAAGAGAGACCATTCAAACCTCTGTGGTGAAACATGTGGGTCCACACAAAGCTCCCCATCAACAGGTTATGCTGCTAGCATGGTTCTCCCACCGGCTGAGAGACCCCCGCCCACCAGCGTTAGCTCCACACTGCCCGGGCCCGAGTCGTCGGGTTGGCTCGCTAGCAAATTAGCAACACTTGTGTATCCGTGCGTTGGCAGAAACGCTGTCCCCTGCTAATAACAACCACATTGTCCAGCAACACAAGTATTGTTAAAAAAGTCTATTGTCGCTAACACAACAATAGACTCAGCTGTTCTGCGCGTACCAGCTGATGCTATTGTTGGCTAGCTTACCAACAGGTTGCTAGCTCCGGGGGGGGGGGAGTGATGATGCTAACTGGGCTTCACGGTCCAAACCAACACGTTTCAGGCACAACGCTAATGACTGATTATTATAAACGCTGGAGCCGAGCAGGTTAGCCCGAACCCTACCTGTTCTCTGCAGTGGCAGCTAGCACGGCACGCTGCTAGCTATCTCAACACGGTGTCCCAGCTTTCTTGTCAGGTCAAAAATATAAACGTGCTGCTGCAGACTGGTTTCACACAAAGCTAACGAGCCTAAGATAACGCCAATGATTCACATGGCACATTAGCTAATTAGCAATACATCACCCAACTCCAGCAACAGTTAGCTAGCTAGCTAGTTAGTTAGCTAGCTAGTAGCCTACCACCTGGCGTTGGTTACCTCGGCTAAAAGGGTCGCACACAACTCGCGGGACAACCAGTCAAATCTTATCCCGTCTCACCGTCTCCAGTTTGGCTTTGACCTCGTCCAGGTCTCCGGTATTCAGTGCCCACATCAGCTCTTTGTCGCCCATCTTCTTGTGTTTGCTCCGGTGCTGCCTCTGCCTCTTCTCCCCTGTTGTGCTGCTGCTGCTGCTGCTGGAGGGCAGTTGTCAACTTAGATGCTAATGCTAAAAGTTAGCTAGCCCGAGCTGGAACTGTTGTCGGTCGTTGGACAGGAATAAATGAGTGTAGCGTCGTTTTAATGCTTTTAAAATCTCGTCTAGCGAGTAGCTGGGACCCGTCGGTGATAAAAAAAAATGGCTGTGGAGAAGTTGTGAGAAGTGTCGGTGAGGGATCCGCCTTTTTACAAGACGGGAGAATTTCCGATGCCGAACCCGGAAATTAGCTACATGTTGCGTTTACGCTCCGACGTTAAAAAGCAAGATTTTCCAGTTTTCAGCTATTATTATTTCAAAAACACACTCAACGATCCAAAGCATTAATATTAAAGAGCAAGTGATAATTCGATGTTAGTGTTTCTAACCTCAGCTCAATAAAGTCAACGACTGGACACTATTTTCTCGCAGCCTCGATGTTACCATTTACTCACAAAAGTTGAAATTCCTACGCTCGCATGTGTATTTTAACGCATCGCTGTATCTAATAATGGTCACAACTTTAATAAAACATTTTCATAAATCAGTTTCTCAACAACCAGAGACACATCACACATATTTCATTTCTCTTGTTTCTGTTTCATGTACATGAGGAGTGGAGGCAGAGTATAGAAATACATTCCTTCGTCTGAGAAAACAGCGTCGATTAAGTTTAGATAGTTTCCTGGAGCTGTAAACCACTTTTTTAAAAGATAAATTATTCACATAATTATAAACTTTATCCAAAATGACTTTACAGACCACATTCTGCTGTATGAAACTGCAAAATTCAGTTTCATGTGTCTTTAAATACCTGTGATGAGTAGTTTTGATATTGTGGTCACACACTTCCTTTTTTATTTACACAGTCTGCTGCCCTGCATGTGCTAAATTATTTCCACATTAAAGGTTCAGTGTGTACAATTTGACATGACAGAGAACCTGTGGCAGCCCTCAGTTGTCATAAAAACTCAAAAGGTTTGAACAACTGTAGAAAACATGGCTGCCTCCGTAGAGAGGACCCCCTTGATGTAAATATAAAGTATTTGAATATAATGGCCCCATTCTAGGGTAAAGAAAACAACAATTCATACAATTTAGATGATTTAGATGACACAAAAGAGAAAAAACTGCTCTTCTCAGACAAGTCACAATTTGGACATTGTGTCATGTCAATAAAAAACAACACAATTTTGATGCACGCAATATCCACTGAGATAATAGTTGCAAGACTAATAATTAGTTCATTGTGTATATTGTTAGCCTTGTGGATATTTCTGAGACACAATTCGGCCTAACATAACGAGCTAAGACAAGAAGTTCCTGTATGAGACTCACTATGGGGTAATTTGTCATGTTACAGCAGCGAAGAGGACAGAAATAATAGAAATGTCAGTAAAAGTAACAATATAATCATGAGGAAATGTAAAAATTTGAAATAAAAATATAGAATGTAAACAGAATATACACAGTGTGAATGGCAGTGTAACAGGATTGCACATATAATATTGAAATTGCAGGAAAGAAAATAAGAACTGCACAGTTCATTTCTTTAGTCGGATGACCTGTGTGTGAACCTGGTGACATCCTATTGTAACAAGACTTTATGAACAAGACGTCTGTGTTCAGCTTCTGCTCCTGAACGTGCACTTTGACCTCCCAGCTGCGATCAATGAGGAAGCCCATGTACATGCATATGTATAAGCGAGCAAGAGCAGAACCTCGAAGAACCAGTGGTCCTGATGACTGATGATGTTTTAGCCAAGTGTGGCTCGTGCACCATCATTTTCAAGGCACTTGGGAAATCAAAGCATTCAATGCAGGACCCATTGGAGGCAATCTGCACTTTCAGGGCCACCTCGATTGTCATCCCCCATTTGAAGAATTCCTCAATCAAACCCTGACGAATAGCAGATTGGTCGCAGAAAGTCAACGTGGCAGGAGGGGGAGGAAGAAACAATCATTTCTTTACCTTGATCTGTGAAGAGTCAAGGGCAGAACAAACAAATCCAATGCCAAAGAGCTGCCTTTTCACCATTGAGGCGCCACTGGAGTCTCCCATTCTCCATCCCTCCCCTCATATTCCTCCCTGCTAATCTCATCCTCCCATGAAACTAACTCTCTCCTGCCTCCCCTGAAATATAGGTGATGCCGCTATCATTACATGAAATCAGCAGCCCCCTGGAAACAACCAATCTGTCCAGAGGATGAAGAGGACAATAAAATACACCATTTCAAGAAAATTCAATATGGCAGTATGATGAAAAATAAAAATGCCACTAATGAGATTCAACCGCTCTCCCATCCTCCTCCTTATACAGCTCCCCTTTACAACACCCTACCCCGCCGACACCTCTCACCTCCCGCTCACACACACACTCATGCATTACACACTGAGCCGCTGAAGCACAGGTATTAAAACTCCTTTATGTGAGAATATTAAACTGTCTTGCAAGTGTATACTGGAGATTTTTACACTCTAATGGTCAGGACACAGACGATTACTGCCCAGGTTTCTCCTGCTTGTTATGCTAATGTGACATACTGTGTGACGGGGATGACTCCCAGAATGGGTAATTACAAGTTCATATGTGGCCTAAATCAATTGCAGCCCAACTATTCATGCCCGTTATAATGATGTCCGCATACAGATAGACTCTGGGCTTCTTAGCTTCAGGGATTTCATTAAGTTTTCTCAAAACTGTTTTGATCAAAAAGTGAATTACTTCAGGTGTTTACTCAACTGTCAAAAGGCTGAAAGGTCATTTAATGATATTTTCATCCATCGTTGAGTTGTTGTTTTTTTTTGCCCCAGTCCGTTTGTTTGATTGCATTACGCCAAAATCACTTAATCACTTTATTTTACATTCCCAGATTGGATATTTTTTTAAACATTTTTTCTAATATGAACAAATAAAATTTCCAAGGCATTTTTTTACATTTTCCTTGATTTCTTAGGGAATAATTCTTGGCTTTTGATGAAAACAATAAGACATATTTGCAGGATTTATTGAATTCAAGGGAACTGTTGGGCCTTGGTGGATACTGTTTGATACCTGAGGTCTAAAATGCACTTTTGTAGCCCGAATACATCTCACTTGTATCTGGTAATGTGGCAAAAATAAGCACCTGTTATGTGAGTGAGCAGCACAAATTTTTTTTTTTTTCATAAGCAGACACCAGAGTGAAAGTTTTTCGCTTGACAGAAAGGTTAGAGTAATTCTATCCATAGGCATGACAGCATGGCACCTCCATTTCTCAGTCTATTAGCGGCGCTCAGGCAGCAGAACCACATTATGCTACTGTGTCCATTAAAAAGTCCAGAAGGGGCTCAACTAAAACAGACTCTCCCCTCCCCGCGCTACTCACACACTCCTGAGCTGACAGCACACTCGTACTCTCCCATTACTCACAGAACATTCAGCCCTCACCGATGATTTTATGTAAAAAATAAAAGAACTGACATAATTAACTTCTGCAGGAAGTCAATTTCATATTTTCTCTGAGGATTGAGACCGTCCATTCTCTTCAATGAGACGTTATAATTGATGCTTCAAAGCTGAAATGGTACATTTTGGATGTGAGTTGTGGTAATTGTGCATGAATGAGAATGAGACACGTTATTGGATGTTTTCCAGCAGAGAAAACGCTAAAGTGCAATTTTAAAAGTAGAGATACTTTATTAAAAAAGTTTGATTCTTTGAGGCTTCATTGGGAAATACTTTAGCTTTTCTGCGATGCTGTTATCTGACAGCTGTGATCGTCAATGACTCTGCCGATTAACATCTCACATGCTAAACACATAATGAGCTCATAAAATGTGATGAGTTTAATATAGCCGGCAGAACGTGGGGTCACTGGAGCAGCTGCACTATTAAAATACTACTCAGAGGAAAAGGTGGAATTACGTACAGCACAATTTCTGGCCCTGGAGTGGAAGGTTGAAGAATTTGTGCGGATAACACTCGATGTTCAAAGAAAGTGAATATAACAATGTGAAACAGACTTTAATTGACTGTGTTCATCTGTGTGATGATGATGCTCCCGCTACAGATTTCATGCTAGTTTATCTCTGTAAAGTTACTTAACGAGAAACCAACCCATCGACATCTCCCTTTAATAATACAAAAAAGGTTACGCAACCAAAATAATCGATCATTTCTTAAGAATAACTACAAACACACAACAGCTTATATTGTTTCAATCTAACACAACTTTTTCTTTTTACCCACAGTGCACTTGTTGCTGACATCTGCGTTGGATCACGTTTGGATCGAAAGAAGCAGGTTGGGGTTGAAAGTAATTTCCAGAACTCCCCCTGTAACACGCCAGCCGTGATTGATTCAGACCTACAGCTGGCCTGTTGTACCCAGATATTACACATGGAGCAAATATGGTTTCTAAACTGGGAAGGCTTTATGATGGAGGAGCGGAGCATCATCTGGTCTCTCAACGGCACGATTTCAAAAGTTTTGATAAAGGGGAAATAAGCACAACTCTTTCTGATGAATTTATGGAGCAGGGATTTAAAAAAAAAGTAATAAAAACTGGAAAGTGCAGGAGAGCGTGTTGTGTTTTGAGGGCAGACAAAACATTTCTAGTAAATAATTTCCCATCCAATAGACCCAAAGGCTGCAGAGCACAATCTCAAGAGAAATCTCAATGCCTGCAATGCAGAGATAAAACAGCGTTACTACATGAGGACAGTTAATGGTGGATATAGCTGCAAACATACTGTAACTAACATATTGTTGGACAGATTGCCTGTGGAAACACCTGCACACACACACACACACACACACACACACACACNACACACACACACACACACACTGCTGCCTCTGATTTCCTGGAAAACGCATCTTTAGAAATTGAACACACAAGCTGCGAGCGAATGATCTCAAAGAAAGCTTGAGGCTTTTCTATAAACGTAAACCACTAATTCTCAACATATCCGGCGATGTGCGCTGATCCCTGCGAGGTCGACTGGTCTTTGTGGGCAGACACGCTGCCTCCCTCTAGAGGTCAGGCCGAAGATACCCTTCTCCATAATGGCTGTCTGGGCAAGAGGGGAGAAGGCGAGGCAGAGGACAGGACCTGTCTTCTCAGCCAACGCTCGCTGACATGAACCACATTCACATGGAGCGTGGGTTTCGAGGCACCGCAGTCCAGGAAATATTCTCTGCCGCTCAGAGAAAGCAGACGGATCTCTGAAAAAGAAATTCACTCTGCAGTCCGTGATGAAGTTGCAAGGTTAT